TACGTCATTTATTTATTATAATTTTGCTAAAAATATATTTCAATCTATTGTATTAGAAAACATGTTTTGTATTGTTAAGTAATGTGTATATAGTTAAAGTTTTCTTTTAAATAAAATTTGTTAAAAGTTGAAACTCAAAAAGAATTAAAATTGATTAGGCATTCTAATGGAAAAGTTTGTTAAAAATGTTCACTATAATATGAGATGGAGAGAAAAGTTGTAAACTTAACTAACATGAAAAGTTATAAATTAACAAAATGTAAATCTTAATTGTTTGATTTTTCTGCAGATAAGAAGAAGCTCAGTATCCATAACACTATACAGCCATGTTTAGAGAATACAGATAAAGTAATCAAGTGTTACCAAGAACATCCGAAAGAAATTTTGAAATGTTCTAATCTAGTCGATGAATTTTATAATTGCGTGGATCAACGACGTGCGAGGGTGATTGCAGCACGTTGTTAATATTTTCCAATATTAAGCATAGTACTTGTTTCACATCTTAGTAATCCAAGCTAATGTTGTTTAATAAAACAATTTTTAGTGATTGCCAATAAATTAAATTATGTGTACGAAGATTTTGAATATTTATTACATTTACATTACTAACAATAATAGGCAACGATTTTTTCGTTAATGATAGCCAAAGTTTTTGTGTTGAATTTACAATGACAGCAATAATATATTAGTAGTTACTAATCTGTAACTGCTAAAATGGATAATGAAGTGAAAGATATTTAAAGTAAAGTAGTAGTATTTTACTAGTATAGTAACTATTTCGTTACAGTTACATCACGTAACGTGATCAGCTCAATTTATTCTGTTGCTAGTGATTCGATTGGAAATTTTTTGAGTTAAAATAACATGGTTTAAGGAGAGCTTTAAGATGATTGTACAAAATTTTTTGTTAATCCCCTTTTTCTCGAAGTTATAAAGGTTACCTTCATTTTTTCATAGATTGATTTACAATTTTCTTGTACCCATCGTTAACATATACATGGTTTTATCAGAATGTAAACAAAAAAAAATGTAAGTTTACCTATATAGTTTTATGTTTATCTGTAAATTGTTAACATTAAAGTCTATTTTTCTTATATTATGTTATTAATTTCTACGGTCCATTATTAATTACAGTAAATAATTAAAGCTGATATGAGCGAAAATACATGTGCTACACACTTAAAAATATCATATCCAGAAATACAGAGTGTGACATAATTATCGCCACGATTTTTCAGGCACTTTCGACAGTCTGACAAAAAAATGTTTCGAATGAAAGTTAATCAGTATTTAATGGACTACATATTAAAATATAACAAATTTCAGAAACTACTGTTTTCGACTGGAGTCACCTTGACTTTTTTAAATATCACCCTGTATTTTTGACTTCGTAGGGTTAATGTTGACCTTCAGAAGACCTTGACTCCAGCAATTTCGGTTGGAACAACAAAAGCGTTAATATCGAAAGCTATTTTATTTCATTGCATTTACAATAAGTGCTCAAAGTGTAGTACATTTTCTTATAAGGACAAATCCGATCATGTAAAGCAAATTACTATTAGTTATCACGACGAACTTCCTCACATGCTGTGCGGATTCGCTGTTTCAAATATTCAATATTTCGAATTGGTACAGCGTAGGGCCTAGACTATTGACTGTAAGTGACCCCACAACAAAATTTTAGTGCGGACAAGTCGGGGGTTTACACTTCGAGCATTGAGCACGTAAATTCAACGAAATAAAATAGCTTTCGATAATAACGCTTTTGTTGTTCAACCCTAAATTACTGAAGTCAAGGTCATTTCAAGATCATAGATCAATCTTTGAATTCATTTTTTCATCAACAATAATACTATGAAGTAGAAAGTATAGGGTGTCATTTAAAAAAAATCAAGGTGACCTTGACTTTTAGTCGAAAAGCAATAGTTTTTGAAATTTGTTATAGTTAAATACGTAGCCGTAACTTTCATTGGAAACATCTTTTTGTGAGACTGCCGAAACTGCTTGAAAAATCGTGGCGACAGTTACATGCCCTGTATACAGTCACCCTGTATATGCACTAAAAATTAATAGTTAACAAGTTTGTTACAAGTAATGAAGATATAGTGAATAGTATGATTTAGAATAGACAAACCATGAATTTTTTATTGTATTTTTCTATACATTTCGTATAATTGTATCTACATAAATACATAATTACATAATAATTGCATATAAATCTTTAAAAAAAAAAAAAAGAATATTGTAAATCATATTATAACAGTTATGAAAATTTTATACAACAAATGGTAATAGTTCTTATGTGATTATTTGACTTTGTATTAAATTTTTTACTTTGTCAAAAATCAGTAGAAATTTTTCTTCTGTTACATCCCTTAAAATATTTGCTACACCTTCTTCCGATAAATTTTCATACATTTCCTCAGCTAAAAGTTTATAAAAAAATTTTATTACTCAAACTGTAGAAATTTCAAAATTATACATATACAGCACTTTCATTATCATATACAGACTCCTGCTATATTAAAAAATTATTTACATTTTATTGTTAAGTGACCAAACAATTCGCAAACTGCAGGAATAAAGATACTAGCGTCCTTTAGGCCAATGCTGGGTTTCCTAGGCCAAATGTAAATTCTTATGTCTTGATATTCTTCCCCAGAGTCTGTTTTTGCTCGTGTAATATAAACATTATGTGGTATTTCTGATTTTTGCAAATAATCTATTATTAAGAATGTCCAATTTACTAGTTTATCTAAATTTCGTACACTCAAATATTTTATACAAAATCCATTAGCAGGATAATTTTTTAAAATTTGTACAGGACCCATGAAGTCGTCAAGATCCTGAAAAATAATAATAGCAAATTAATGGTCATCATTAATGGAAGAAAAATATTGAGAAAAATTTATTTACAATATGCTCTAACAGCATTCTATGATTTAAGTAATATAAATGCCAATGGAGATGGTTTACTGATGCATAAGCACAGAGACTGTTGAATGCCACTCGAATATATCTGAAAATAATATTATTACTACGTTTGGTTTTACATTATATCAAATTTTAATATTTGTCAGAAACGTTATAATATTTAAAATTACTTACGAATCATGACTTAATCGAAATATGTGTAGGGCTTTATATAAACTATACTTTGTTATAACTTGAGGCAAGCATTTACATCTCTCAGGTAACAATAAAGAGTGACAATACTCTAATGGACTAATATTAATTGCAATTATGTCTTCTTCATTTCCGTCCAAATGAATGATTACCTCTTCTGGAGAAATTTGTGTAAAATTGAAACGCTTTTTGTCAAAAGACTGTATCATTGAAGAAATATGTTCGGGAGATCTTCTATTATGACCACGATCGACGTTCAACTAAAGTAATTAAGTAATTATATAGTTATAATTTATTAGAAATTGTTTATATTTCTGATGATATTTTTTAGTTCCATATTATTCTTATATCTAGACTCCTCAGCTAGAGTATATTATATTGTACTTTTCAAACTTTACAGATATAGTGTTGTAAATAATAAAATAATAAACTCACATACTTCTACAATGTCCACAAAGTCAATGTTCTTACTTAAAATATGTTTTGCCTATTAAAATTCATATTGTAAACGAAATTTATATAAATGTCAAACAGAAACTATTACCCAAAAATTAAAAAAAAGAGATACG